TTTTTGTTTCCATCACTGATATGATATTTCCGGAGAAGTTTCCATGATGATATTAAACAAAGGAAACTTCACAGTTGTTCCACATTATTGAGCAATCACAGTTTCCTCACGGCGCTGCTTTGGATGTTCCAGATAAATGAAGTTCTGAATGGTTGGTGGATGGCCAGTGTGCCTCAATAAAGCTGCAGCGTGAGCAAGGGAGTGATGGAGTGATGTTTGGGCCTGGATGAATGAAACGTTAGACGGTTTGCCCATTTAGGCTGCAAGGATGTATCAAAATGACCTCTGCAAAATATGCGGTGTTTCAAACTGACCATTTCCTGTGATGCTCTAAGAAAACAGTGCCTTTGACACCCTTTCATTATTTTTCAATAAAAAAAATTCCATGCTGCAAAAAAAAAAAAAACATTGATTCATGGTGTTGTCACCAAACTTTCCAGTCCTCACCCTATGATGGCGCAACCTTAAAAGTCAGGATGATATATCAGCAGAAACCTCCAAATAGCAAGTCTGGGAGGCAGTTCAATATTTACAAATGAGATTCAAGCAGAAACTAGCCACGGATCATCAGTGAATGAGAGAGCTGTTCAATTGAGATCAAAGAGGAGCACCTAAGTGAACATGTAACTTAGTTGGCAAATGTGCTGTGGGTCGATAACACGCAAAAAAAGACATTTTTCCCCCTCAAGGCCATTAGCCACCATTTAGCAACCTTTCAAATTGGTTGAAAGAGTGACACACAGTAAATTGGAAGAGAATAATTTGATGAATTTTGTTGTCATCGAAGTTGTTTTCTTCAATAAAATCCCATTATTATAAAAGCTAATTGTTAAGTGTTTTGTTCACTGATAACTGCATGAACAATTTAGGAAAATGAACAAAACAAGGATATGTTTTCGAATTAGGAACACAGGCTAATCAGGGATGACCTTTTTCAAATGCTTGGCCACTCGAAGCAGATTTCTCTTCTGGAGTCAGTTGTAGAAATTGGCATTTTGGGAGCAATTGCGCACTGCAAACAAATGCATCTCACTTGACACTGCTTTCCCAGTTGCTAATTGCAATGAATGGGTCTTTTGAAAACTATAATGACCTAACTCTGTTTAGTTCAGAGGTGTAATTGCCCATTACTGAATTGAGAAGAATAGGTGAATTGAACAGTTTCAAGACTTTGTGTTACTAAGTTAGCCATACAAAGAATAAATGAGTTCAGCTCCTCGTTCAGGAACATTTGAATGGAAGTTTCAAATACAGCTTAACAGGGACTTTGACTGTGTAGAGAAAAAAAAAACAACACCACCACCACTACCACCAACAAAAGATAACAATTTTAGACATTGGGTCAAGTTCATGGTGGAGACCAAATGATGTGAAGGAAAGCCTTCATCGGGGCAGCTTGAAAAATACAACAGGCCACTAAAACGTGGGAAATTGACTTTCCCCTGACAATTTATTTGTATCATTTAAACTGCTGTAGCACTTTTCTTAATACCTTACACATGAATACTACATATACTACTTTGTAGAAATAGGATCCTAAAAACTTTCATTTCAAGCTCATCTTACATTACATCAGTGCTTCTCTGATTATTTTCTGTCATGCCCCCCACCCAGGAAGAAGAAAACATCTCGCTCCCCCCCCCAGGTGACTAAAAATAATATAATTTCTCTATAAAATTGTTATAAGTACACCTTTGCATAACACTGCATCCTTATTAACGTATAAGACTCAACTCAACTGTATTTATAGAGCACTTTCAAACAGCCATATAAGAGAATAAAAAGAAAGAAATAAGGACCAACTTACAACAACGGATAGGTTTAAGTGTAACAGAAAAGATTTAAAGTGCATCTGAAATTAAAAAAAAATGAAATCCTTAATTAAACTATGAACATTTTTTAACTGACCACGTGAAACCATACGATACTGAAAAATACAATTACATAAAATCAATCAATAATAATGCATTCAAACTGATCACCAACATTAACTCAGCAGCACAATATACACAATATAAAAAAAAAAACTTTAACCCGCAAAACAAAAATATATAAAATAATTTGTGCAGATTTTTAAATGTTTAAATTTTTAAATCAAAGATGATGTCTGGATTAATGGCTACAAGTAGCAGGCACAAAACGGGATGATTGTTGCCAATATTCTGCACATTTTCGCTGAAAAAAACTCAAGCGGCTTATCAGTGTGATTGTGGTGTAATGTCTTTAAGTGACACCTTTATTTGGCTCCATGCTGTCCGCTGCCAACATTTTTAGACACAGTAAGAACACCGGTCTTTCCTCGTCTCCCACCGTAGTCACAGTGAAGCCAAGCGCTACATACGCTTCGTCATATTTCCTCGTCTTAGTTTTCGGGAGACTTTCGTTTGTCTCTTTATCTCCATCTCTCTCCATCTGTCGACTTCGTGTCTACACTTCATCTTCATATTCTGTGCTGTGTGTAAAGTGCGCATGCTCAGTGCAAACAAAACACCGAGTGAATGCTCCCTGCGCACACTCTGCCAAGGAAAGTGCCACTGGCCCCTAATGTAGTGGAGGTGCAATTGCACTTTATTCTTGGACAGTAAAAAAAAATCAAAATAAAAAGGCATGTTCCCCGAGGTCAAACGCGCCCCACTTGACGGAGCCTCGCAATAGTGGGGCGTGCCCCACTATTTGAGAATCACTGCATTACATTAACCTTAAAAGTACACGGTGGTGTCTGTGCTCACTGTATGTTGCTCATTTTTCTTTGAATTTGAACTTCATCCATCCATCCAACCATCCATTTTCCGATCCGCTTTATCCTCACAAGGGTCGCGGGGGTTGCTGGAGCCTATCCCAGCTGTCATCGGTCAGTAGGCGGGGGAACACCCTGAACTGTTTGCCAGCCAATCACAGGGCACGCATAGACGAACCACCATCCGCGCTCACACTCACACCTTGGGACAATTTAGAGTGTTCCATCGGCCTGCCATGCTTGTTTTTGGAATGTGGGAGGAAACCGGAGGACCCGGAAAAAAACCCACACAGCCCCGGGAGAACATGCATACTCCACACAGGGAGCCCGCAGCCGGAATCGAACCCTGCAACTCTGCACTGTGAGGTCGACACCCTGGATTTGAACTTGTCCCAAAAATAAATCTCACAAGCAACAAGCAACAAATGTGACTTTTAATAATTGTGTGCTTACAATGTTAGCACGCATGTGCATCCCTTTGACATCGAGTTTAGGGCCTAAATTAAGCGTCCTTTCATAAATTTACGGTCAAAGGATTAATGAGCAACAAAATAGCCTTCTCACTTTACACAGTAACTCTGTGTTGTCGTTAAAAATGATTGTCATGAGCTAGCTTTCCAAATGTTTGTGAAATTCAAATAATCTGAGGGCTTCAGTCAAAGCAGCATGGATGAGTGGTTTGTTACCCTTTCCCCTCTGATGAAACATATTCAGTGTGATGTCAAGATCATTAAAATTGATGACATATTATTTGATGATGGATGGTTCATTGTGCTTCGCCACTACCTTGCGTGCTTGTGTACAGTACGTCATCAAAGGCACACTGTTCCCTCTGCATTTTATTGATATAGGTTTCCACAATCACCTACTCCAAGACATGCACTCTGCCTCGTCTCGGTCTCTTGGCTTTATTGATTGATTGATTAATTGATTGTAATCTGAAACTGCCAGAAACACCTTCCTTCCTTGCTCCGGCAGCAGAACTGTAATTTGTCACGTATTCACAGAAGTGGCATATGCCAGAGGGCTGCACGACCCGACGGTGACTTTCTATCTGGACCCATCAGCTGAAAAAGAAGCAGAAAGTTCATATTTTTCCCTCTCATGACTGCCAGATAATACACGTGTTGTGCCGTCCTTTCGTGACACACGTCTTTTTTTCAAATCCATCGTCAGATTGAAAAAGTCCCAACAGCGTTTTGCTTGGAAGATCCAGTTTAAAATCTCGAAATGTGAGACGTTCCAGCAGTTTTGCACTTGTCTTTTGCTGTTGTATTGCCAAAGCCAAATAAGTGAAACTGCCAATACGAGATGCACTAATTACAACTTGAATTTTGTTTTATATTCTTTGCCTCCTTTTACTTAGTTCCATACTTCTAAAATGCGACAATACTGTTGGAAGAATTGATTTGCACTTTGGTGTTATTTTTCAAGGGAAATTGAGGATTTGTGGTCTTTTCAAACCTTAACTGTAAAAAATAAGTAAAAATACGTTGAGTCTTTCAGCGTGACATACTTCTCATTTCATCCTCATTTACCAAAATTGCTACACATCTATGATTTATACATTCTTCATCCCTGCTCGACTCACCGTGTTTGCAGATCCGCTCGTGTAATGTTTTCCGATGATCCAATATTTTTCAGTTTCAGTAGTTTTAGAGACTTTCTCGGAGAGTGGTCAAAAAGCCCCAAGATGAATTTTGGTTGACCAACATTTGACTTCCCTTTAACAAACCATCTGAAAATGCTTCGTGCATATTATGTTGCTGCTTGCGCTCTCAAGGCCGCGCCAACTGACAGAGCCGCCGTTTGTGTTGCTGGACTCGGGAGAATGCACACACTTGAACTTCTCTTGACAGCGTATCTGCTGCGCTGTTCTGGCGGAAGCGGATCAGTTACTTTGTAGATGTGGGTCATAAGGGGATCACAGACAGTACGCTGCACAGCAGGACCCACTGTGGCTGACAGCAGGAGGGGGCAATCATGGCGTTCGCTTTAACGTCTTCTTTAATCATTCATGCGCTTTGCTAATTTTATAACACAAACCTTTGAAGTATATGCATTTAAAGTAGAAAGATTAATAACTCTATTAAAGTTTCGATTTGTAATTCTTGTCCAAGCCAAGCTTCGAACATTAAAAAATAAATAAATAAAAATAAAAATATCAAAGCTTTCCATCGATATTTTTTTCTTTCCCATGCTTGAGAGAACAATTCCTGTTCTAAAATAATCAACACCTGCCTGGTTTTCTCCCACTGTGCAGGAGCAGAGCCCCAGCAACGCCACTTCTCTGGCCATGATGCAGGAGCCGCCGGAAGTGGTGGAGGAGACGGTCACCATAGAGGAGGACCCCGGGACCCCGACTTCCCATGTTTCGGTGGTCACCTCTGATGACGGGACCACACGCCGCACAGAAACCAAGGTAACACTCAAAAGATTATCAATTCAGTTGTCCTCCACCGAGGTGCAAAACTCCTGCTGGATGGACGGATCCGATGCGGTTTTTAAATATTGATTCTCTTTTGATTAAATTCCACGTCTCCACTTAATAATGATTTGGTTTGACGTTCTAAAGCAGGGGTCCCCAACCTTTTTTGTCTCACGGACCAGTTTAATGTCAGACAATATTTTCAGGGACCGGCCCTTAAGGTGTGACTAATAAATACAACAAAATAATATGATATGACCGACATGAAAACTGGTATTTTCGAAACATAGTAATAAACACGAATCGCAACACGATGAACGTCCTATCTGGCCGCAACACTCTCCGGTCGCTATGGTCATGTTTACACGTGCCTTCAAAATAAGATAGACCACAATACAAAGTGCATGAAAAATACGACTCACCATTGCCGCATATGATGCAGACTGGGCTCGGTGCGTGGGAATCTCCCGTTGTGATCAATCCGTATTTTAAGTAGGACTCCTGACACTGTCTATTAAATGTAGCCTTCTTTTTCTTGAAAGTCGTAGGCTCCTCCTTTGTCTCCTGGCTGGGCCTTTCCCCCTTCCCAAAGAAACCTTCCAAAGACCTTTGTTTTTTACTCATTTTGCTATCTCCTGAGTTTCATTTTAGCGGTAACCTATCACGTGACTGAGAAGCGCACCTTCACCTGCGTCAAGAGTGACATATTGTAGACGGATGTAACAGAGGATCCGGTCATTTTTCAAAATAAAACATCTTTCAGATTCTGAAATGAATAAAACGGAAGTAATGTAAGTTATGTATTCTTTCTGTGCGGCCCGGTACCAAATGACTCACGGACCGGGACCGGTCCGCGGCCCGGGGGTTGGGGACCTCTCTTCTAAAGTAATTCTCAGTGTTCTCCTGGATGTCCCGTTAAAAGTACGCAGTCATCTTGATGACTATTTGCCGCTGGAACTGTGCTTCAGCATATGCACTTTGGCTAGGCAACACACCTCCGCATTCACTTAGTGTTGGAGACAAGCGAGGAAGAGAGGAAAACATATTGCCTCTTGTTGGGTTTATAACCTTGGATTCTAAACATGTTTTCAACAAATAATGCGACACAGTTGTTTTTCCGCTGAACCGTGTCTGATTGATGTGTGTTTGTCAAAGTTGGATTGCTAAAATTGACTTCAAATGAGCAACTGTGCACATTCCCAAGTAAAATGTGAATTCATTGTTTCGATAATATTGTGATTTGTTTTTGTTGAACCTTGTTGATTTATCTTGTTTCACAAGATGAAATTGAATGTTAAATGAGCCATTATTGCAAGGGAAGTTGCAACTTCCAAGTATGTCTGCTGCAACACATTCAGATTAATATACGGCACACAAAAAAAGCGACAAACGCCATTTTCATCGGACATCAAATATATATGGAAGATTCTGTAGCATCCGCTTTTGCGTGATTACTGACTTGGCTGATAAAGCTTAGCCATGCTTTTTCTTCTCCAGTAAAATGACGTTCTGACAACAGCACTGAACCGTTTGGTTTGTGGCAGGGGTTTTCGGACAACTCATTCACTTTGTCTTTACTCTTGTTCCTTCGCTTAATTTCTCTATCTTCCGTTTTCCCTACAAATTCATTCAGAAGAGCTACAGTACAATACTGAACAATAGTTTTATTTGTTTTACGATTGAGTGACTTGTGAGTGCCGTGTTGACAAGGATTGGTCAAGGGAAATAAAGGTGAATGACCATTTGCTCCAGCCCTCCCTTTCCTACCCTGGGGCTGTATTTAAAGTCATTGTGACCTACTGATACTCAACAGTGAGCAACATAGTCACAAAGCATCGAACCAGAGTGTTTTTTCTGCTCCTCTCCCACAGCACTTTTTCAGCATTTTCCACACAATTTTCTTTTTTTTTTCCCCCCCCTCAAACTTGTCTGTGCCACAAAGGAGTTTGCCCATTTTCCAAATCTTGATTCATTTTCGGTCAGCTGTTATCGTTGTTTTACAGAAGAGTAGCAAACACTGGATGGCGAATCCCACTCAGTAGAAAGTGTAATTATAAAGCCTGGTCTAATCCCTCATTACGGAGGCCCAGTGCACTCCAATGTGTTTACCATGAGGGAACTGGCCACACACTCTCACATGATTAGATGTCGTCAGAAGTGGAACTTTGTTGGGATGTTGTATGCAGTGAAACACTAATCAAAGGCTGTGCTGGCGAGGAAGAGAAGAAGGACACTTTTTTATTTTTAAAGGCCAGCCTTCCCTTAGAGCATATATGGAGTGTTATTTGGAAGTCACTTTGAGGAGAAAAGCAGACAACTGTTTGAGGGGAAAGTTTTAGCAAAACATCTCTTTGGTTGCAAATAGGTCCAGACATCATCCGCAGAAACTCTGCCACTTGTCGTCTCAACTTCCCCATTTTTACTTACTTTTCAGATTTTGTTTTCTTGTGGGTTAACGTTCAACGTGTTTTTGCAGTAACAGATACACTCAGTAACATACTCCTGTCCTTTTTTTGGCTTCCACCGTCTGTGTTGTGAGATGAAACACAACAACAGACCAACTCACGAGTACGCAACACTTGTTTTCATGGTAAACCCGTTATTTGTTGTCATGGGCAGAGCTACATGGTCGCCATTCCTTGTCACTCTCTGACCACCCCCACACCTGTGGGAAAATGATTTTTCTGCCTCGTTCACATTCTCAGACCGTGTGATACTCTGCCACAAGTTATTAATTGTAACTGCATACTTCAAGAAAAAATATACAATTGATTTCAAGACAAAATTTCAAAGAATCTGCCTAATGCAAAGACCATTTGATTTTTACAATCGGTATCAATCAAAAATCATGACTTTCATACCATAGCTAGCAAACAACATGGCTGAGAAGTGATTCTTTATCATAGCATCCAAGTCGTGGTTTCCTGAAGTAAAATGCACACGTATATACACACATGCTCATAATACTAAAGGAACAAACCTTTGTGAAAAAAAAACAACTTTTAGAATCGTGAAGGAGATACTTTTGTTTCATTGTGCTTTTTAGACACGATTTGAATGAATTGATCGCAGTATGTAAAATGGTGTCGGCCATCTGTGACTATTGTTCATTATGATAAGCTGGCAAATCAGTTCATAAGATAAAAGGAGATGATGAGATGAGTACACAAAAGCAAAGAAAGTGGTATGATCCAGTCAATTAAGCTGAGCAAAATGTTGCTTTTAACTTCCCTTGTTCCTGCTTCATTATGAGCGTGATGGGCATTATTCTGGATATGTGTACATTTTATTTAATCCACCCCTGACACGGCCGCCCCTGGCCATGCCTCACTGGGGTGCTGTGTCACCCTGGCCACCCCACTGAAAAAAAAATTCTGGCTACATGTTGATGTGCGTGTGTTCAATTCAAAATGTATCCCATGCATTCTCTTGGCTGGAGGTGCCCAACCTTTTTTTTGACCGAAGATCTACTTTTCGATCAACCAACCTCCTCCAACTAACCTGTTACCGCACATGTATGCACACGCACACACACACACACGCACGCACGCACGCACGCACGCACGCACGCACGCACGCACACACACACGTGCGTGCGCATCCTTGCGCATGCGTGCATACACACATGCACATGCCATGATGAGCAGCAGCCATAATGGCCTCTGAGAGGAACGAAACAGAAAACAGAAGTAGGTCCAAGAGTTTGTGAATTTGTGAAAAGGAAATCACTGCCTACTTAAGTCGAGAGGATGCACTTTTGCAGCATCTTAATTGCAAGGATTTTTAAACGTTTTAAAATGTTTTTCCAGCTCCAAATCTCTCTCCAAAATTCAGCTTTAGTGCAATATTCACGGTGTACAGTACCATGTGCAAACATGACAGAAAATTTGATCACACCATCAAACCATTAAAAGCTATTCCGCTCATAATGCAAGGACATGAAAGAGGCTATGTGAGGGAGGCAACCCTTGGTCAAGGTTCAATAAGAATTTGAATGCATACATTTTGTATTAATGTACATGTTCTGTGCAACTAAATGTCAGATGATATCGAAATATATATTTTTTTCCATTTTAGAGACTAAGATATGTTCAGTGCTGGTATTCGGCCTTGCCGCGTACCTGCAGAGATGATGAAATTCCTAGATTCCTTGCAATTGTACGTTAAGAAAAGATGTTCTTAAACTGTTGGACTGTTTGCTCATGCAGTTGTTCACCAAGTGTTGAACCTCACCCTATCCTTGCTTGTGAACAACTAATCCTGCAGAATGTGCCAAACGTGTTTGATGAGCTTTGCTGACCTTTACCAGCCTCCCACGTCCTTGCTTTCGACCAAAAGTCCCAGTTTTTGGGGGAATGTGTTACAGGCATGAAATTCAAATTGAAAGAACCTCCTTCCCCCTCCCCGCCCAAACAATAAACTTCATCAGTTTTAAAATTAAAATATTTTGCCTTTGTCTTGTGTGTAGTTGTGTATGCGGTTGAATTGAGGTTGAAAATGATTTGGATAATTGAATTCTGTTTCTATTTCCAACATCAATGGAATTAAAGTTTGCCAATCTTTATGAAACCAGTCCTGGAACCTTTCATCTCCTGTAATCCATCTGTCAGTTTGTAAAATAAATACAGTTCACTGTAAAGCAGTTGGCTAACGCACATTACTTCAACTCTAGGTGACGAAGGTGGTCAAAACTGTTTCCTGCTTCACCTACCATCCAATACCAGTGACAAAGAGCTTGGTAGTGGAGTCGAGGCCTGCTACCAGGACACCCACACCTGTCTCCATCTTCACCAATGCTTCATATGACACAGAGCCAGTAAAGGATGCCGAACCCTGTGTGATTTCTCTTTTGCATTTTGCTACCCCTGCCTAATTTTGCGTCAAAACTAACATTTGACTTCTTCAAAAACTGAATTGCCACCCAATTCTGTCACATAATGTCTATTTGAACACTGAAAAAAATGAATGCCGCAGAGATTGTGAAACATTTTACAGTCTTGTAAAGTGGACAAATAGACGCCTGCAGCCTTTCCCTCTCTCTTATCTGTTGGTAAACAGTAAATGACACGTGTCTATCCTGTGAGGGTTGCAACCTTGCAAATGGGCCAAAAGCCTGTGTTTAGATTGCATAGTAACTGCTGTAGGGACTGCAAAGGTGCCCATTCAGAGGCATTTGTTGCCCACTTATCCGCAACGATTATACAATGTCAGGAATGATTGTGCAAAAATGAAATAAAGGCAATCGGACGAATATTCCCCCATCAAGAATAGCTTTGACATCCAGCTGCTATCTTTGTAGAGTATACTGACTAAGTACTAATTCTATTTCCAACATCAATGGAATTAAAGTTTGCCAATCTTTATGAAACCAGTCCTGGAACCTTTCATCTCCTGTAATCCATCTGTCAGTTTGTAAAATAAATACAGTTCACTGTAAAGCAGTTGGCTAACGCACATTACTTCAACTCTAGGTGACGAAGGTGGTCAAAACTGTTTCCTGCTTCACCTACCATCCAATACCAGTGACAAAGAGCTTGGTAGTGGAGTCGAGGCCTGCTACCAGGACACCCACACCTGTCTCCATCTTCACCAATGCTTCATATGACACAGAGCCAGTAAAGGATGCCGAACCCTGTGTGATTTCTCTTTTGCATTTTGCTACCCCTGCCTAATTTTGCGTCAAAACTAACATTTGACTTCTTCAAAAACTGAATTGCCACCCAATTCTGTCACATAATGTCTATTTGAACACTGAAAAAAATGAATGCCGCAGAGATTGTGAAACATTTTACAGTCTTGTAAAGTGGACAAATAGACGCCTGCAGCCTTTCCCTCTCTCTTATCTGTTGGTAAACAGTAAATGACACGTGTCTATCCTGTGAGGGTTGCAACCTTGCAAATGGGCCAAAAGCCTGTGTTTAGATTGCATAGTAACTGCTGTAGGGACTGCAAAGGTGCCCATTCAGAGGCATTTGTTGCCCACTTATCCGCAACGATTATACAATGTCAGGAATGATTGTGCAAAAATGAAATAAAGGCAATCGGACGAATATTCCCCCATCAAGAATAGCTTTGACATCCAGCTGCTATCTTTGTAGAGTATACTGACTAAGTACTAAATCAAGAGGATGAAAGTGCACTTTTCCTTTCAAGGTCACAAACCTAATTTAAAACAAGCAAATAAGATCTTTTCGAAGCCAAGGCCATATAGCACTAGAACCACGGATACACTAATAATTAATTCGGGACTTGGAATTCCTGAAATTGGTTTTGTGTTCAGACTCACAATTGGGGTGTATTCAAGCCTACAAGACCTGTAACATCTACACTGTTTAGGTTTCCTCAACCTTAACAAAGGCACATATGAAGCCCATCAGAGTTGAATGCTGGAACGAGATGAACATTTCAATGAATTATCTTGCAAAGAAATGCTGATTAGTCAAGGTGGAATGACTAATCCTGTTGGATAGAAAAATAAATGCATCAGAATGGCCCCTCTGCAGAGGACAATTTATTTTCATCAACATAATTGATTCGGAGATTACCTTATAGCTTGGAATGCAATAAGTAATTATTGATCTCGAACAGTATTCACCGGGCAGCAAATTGTTTTTTTGCATTCTGAATAACACAGCTAATGAGGTTTGTTTGCTCTATATCTTCGGTAAGGCTCAGAGGAAGAATAATTCAGTAGCTATGGAATGAAGTGAGTGTGAGATAGCTCTGTGAAGGTCTGCTCGTCTTGGAAATACAGCTCTGAATAACAGTGAGGTTCGCCCTAGTCAAGGTCTGGTGGCGTTGTAACGCTCAGGTGTCTCTCTGAAATCATACTTCAAGATAAGCCAGACAACATGATTACTCTGTTCATGTCAGCTGTGGTTTTTGTCTAGTAGTGTTAGCAAATCAGACCCGATTTTTAGAGCATGGCATAGCAGTGGCTATTATTGTATCTTCGTGCAAGCATTGACAATTTTGCCTTTTTTTCCTGCATGGTGTTCCACGAGTGTCTAAGAACATTTGTATGAAGAGAGGTGCATGGTTTACATTGTTTCCTACGCTGGCTGATAGTGGCATCATGCTACTTGGATGCGAATTAGTGTTCAGTTGGATGACAGGTACATGTGGTTTCTTCTGCAGGTGACCAAAATGGTGAAGACGGTGACCACACGAACTGTGCGTCAGGTTCCTCTTGGCCCTGATGGCTTGCCGATGCCTGAGGGTTCATCCCCATTGGGAAGCTACACCGATTCAATTGACCGGCGCTACATCAAGAACGGTGGCGATCGCTTCATCACACCTCAAGCCTCATCCACCTTGACACGCTCCTACAACAACTCCTACAATGATTCTTATGGTGAAACGCCAGAGAGTCAGTACATTCGCCATTACGGTCTGCATGATGGCTACGCTGATTTGACGGAGAACTACGGCAGCCTGTCACGAGGCATCAACTTCCGTCCTCCTCGCTACCCCTACATGCCTAATAGTTACCGGCCAGAGAACAGCTATACACTGCCCATTCGTAAGGATGACTATGGCCACGTGGCCCAACCCCAGGTGCCCATGGGTAGCAGCACTGTGGACCTGAACCGCTCCCAGCCCGAGCGCTTTCAGGCCGAACCATATGGCCTGGAAGATGATCGCCGCAGCTTCGGCCCTGAGGACGAGGAGCCATATGAGCTCGAACCTGACTATTCCACGGCTAACCGGCGCACACTAAAAGGAGCCAACCGGGGTCGCACCCACCGGGAACCACTTCGTGATGGGCCCAGAGTCAGGTGAGGAGAAACGCTTAATATGGTTATGATCTCCCTTCTTATTTGTGACTTGTATGAATAATAGCCTCCTTTCTGTACATTAGTCGTTGTTTTTTTTGTACACAATATGAACACAGTCCTGGGCTCTGCTGAGTGTAGTAATTGCTGTCAGCAGTTGGGTAAGACCGCTTTCTTCCCTATGAATGTTAAATGCTTATTTTAGTAGGTTATACTAAATTCAGAGGATACAAAGTGTACAGTAAACACCCTTATACAAATGGTAAGTTTTTGTGATATATTAAAAAAAGAAAGTGACTTATAACCCACCCAAAAAATACAACAACTCATCTTTTAGAGAGGGGATGGAAAAAAGAAACAACCTAGATATCGTGATTGCATAAGTGCTCCGTTTTGCAACTATTAGAGCTTCCACTCGTCTGGCAAGTTTTTGAAGTGGGTCTGTGGGAATTGTTTTATTCATCCAGAAGCACATTTGAGAGGTCAGACATCACTTATGTTGGGCCTGGGAGAAGGCCTGATGGCTCACCGTGTTTGTTGTAGTGTATCTCAAAGGTGTTTGATAGACTTATGGTCAGGGCTCTGTGCGGACTTGTACGCTTGAATGGACCTCAATTTGTTCACTGCTGTGCAGTCATGCTGGTACAGAGCAGAAATTGGCCTTCGGTCAACTTGGAAGCACACAATTGTCCAAACTTTATGAGTAAAATATATAATTGTGATTTAGATGGGCAGCCCGGTGATCCAGTGGTTAGCGCATCGACCTTACAGTGCTGAGGTCGTGGGTTCGATCTCGGCTTCGGCCTCCCTGTGTGGAGTTTGCATGTTTTCCTGGGCCTGCGTGGGTTTTCTCCGGGTATTCCTGTTTCCTCCCACCTTCCAAAAACATGCATGGCAGGCTGATTGAACACTCAAAATTGTCCCTTAGGTGTGAGTGTGAGCGTGGATGGTTGTTCGTGTCTGTGTGCCCTGCGATTGGCTGGCAACCGGTTCAGGGTGTCCCCCGCCTACTGCCCGAAGACGGGTGGGATAGGGTCCAGCACAGCCCGTGACCTTTGTGAGGATAAAGCGGTTCAAAAAATGAATGGATGGATGGATTAGTGTCCAAATCTGTCGGCCCCCAGTCACCCTGACCCGTACCGCTCTTTGGGCCATTTGGAACTGTGCCACACAGAGAGAATGAACAAAAAATATTTTCTTGGCGGTCAGAGTCTGAAAAGAATTTTATTTGGAAAACCTCTAGCATCCGCCTTTGCCTTTGTACACGTCCAACTGCTTGTCTCGGTCCCGAGATACAATACATGAAAAAAGAGTCCACAAGCTGGCAAAAAGGGGTAATAAGACAAACGTCTTTGGAGAGCTTCTTCGGAAAGAGGAAAAGGTCAATTGGTGAGACAGAAGATGAAGAGCCTACAATTTCCAAGGAAAAAAAAAAAAAACAGCTGCACGAAAGTGCCCCTAAAGGTGATTTTCTTGCAACAAGCCTATTCTGTGCCAGAAGTGGCGACAGGCTCGCAAATGAGGCAGCGGAGCCTCGACAACTGCCAATAAAGCTGTGAATACCTCGGCTCTATTTCCAGGTCACATCTTTGTGAAGCACAATTATCTGAAATGATGGCGAGCAAGAGCAAACCAAAATTATGGAGTAGCAAAAACAACACTCTTGCCCCTAAAATTGGACCACCTGAAAATCATTGACCTTTTTCTTAATTACCTACTTATTTTTCAACTACACCGTATACTGTGTATAAAAATAAAGGCAGCATCACATATATTTATATCCAATAATAGTCTGGCTGAATGAAATATGTCAAAATGGTCCTTGCCTTTGATTTTTCTGTATGTAGCCCTTGGAAAAAAAAATGAAGAAACCCACTTTTTTTTTGGGTTGAACTCGTCGAATTTATCGAAGTGCTTTAATTCTAATCACGTTTTCCTTTTTTAATTTTTACTGACTTTATCATGCATTTCTCACAAGGTTATTATTATTATCAAAACTATGAACATGAATTCCGTTTTTATTTTTTTATTTTTCACTTTAACCTGAGAGGCTCATTTTTAAAAACCTCAGTCAAGATAGTCAAAAGTCGTGTAACTTGGCAACCCAGTCCAGATGAGCAACAGTAGCAATGTGTGTGTGTGCTACAGTATGTGCCTCACATGCATAAAAGTGTTTAATTATGCTAGATGGTCTCTGAGACAAGCAGTTACGATATGCATCCATCTCCTATCTGATCCGCTTATCCTCATGAGGATTGCGAGCCTGTTGGAGCCTGTCCCAGCTGACTTTGGGCAATAGGCGGGGGACATCCTGAACCAGTTGCCAGCCAAGCGCAGGGCACACATAAATTAGACAATCAACCATTCGCGCTCACACGTAGGGACAATTTAAAGTGATCAATTAACCTACCGTGCCTGTTTTTGAAATGCCGGAGGAAACCGGAGTTCCCAGAGAAAACCCATGAGGGAGAATCAAACCAGAGACCTCTGCACTGTGAGGCGGATGTGCTAACCAGTCGCCCACCGTGTCAACTATAGTTCCAATAGTCGAATGAATTTGATAAGCGCAGTATCGTCTGTATTGTTTAGCGTATGCATTTGCAGCCTCAAAGAAATAAGAATTATTTTGCTGCTGAGTACTAAAACTTTTGAGACTTTCTGCCTAATTTACAATTTTGCTTTGATGTCATGATAGTGTTTCGCTGGTCAAAAATAGTTTTCTTTGTTTGAATTATTGAATTACTTCAATATAGAGTATACCCCCATTTCAAAAAAAAAAGGTTGGCTTCTCAACATTTCTTTTCAACAAGCCACGACCAGCTTTTTTTAATGTATCAATAATATGCTTTTGGTACAAGACGAGGGAACGTCAATTCTTTTTCATTCATCTCTGCCGAGACGATGCTGTTAACACACTTGACGAGACTCCTTTAGCTTTTTCTCCTGACCCACCAGTTATCTGGCCGTGACTACATGACGCTGCAATTTCCCTCATCCATCTGTAATGCGTGAGTCAGTGTGTATCCACTGCCACAGTTCTGCATATATGCATCTGTGTGTGTGTTTGTGTGTGTGTGTGTGTGTGTGTGTGTGCGCGTGTGTGCGTGCGCGCTTGTGTGTGTGTGTGTGTGTGTGTGTCCCTCATGCCGGTGTGATTAATAGATGCTTTTGAACTAGGTCAGACTATCGGGACGTCTACTAGGCAATCTCTAATGACTCATTTCTCCTTGGGCAACCTGCACCTGGACACCCGCATCTTGGGGTCACCACACACACATACAGTATACATACACACACACACACACACACACACACACACACACACACGCGCGGGTTTTTGATTGAGAGTTGGGTTGTCTCATTCTAATCAAGTCATGTCTTTAGGGGTTGTCCCACGGAAGTGATTTGTCACCACCCAGCTCCTCCTCCTCCTCCTTGCACCGTCACCCGCACTCCCCACCGCTTCCCTTCATCCTGCCAGAAGATTTCCTCAGAGAGCTGCATACTCTGTTTGATACTTTGCTTCCTGTTTATCATGTTTGAGCTTACCCCGAACAGTCCCCTAAATAATAGAATAACCTTTCTGTCTATTCGGAATAATGCAATCACCCAGTAGTGGCTGTGAGTGATATAATGCAGAGCATTGGTGAAAAGCAAGCCATAAACATTACGGGCTTGCCGCTTTGTTGTCATTTTTTGCCATTGCTCAGCCAAGCGTTTTGCATCATAAAACAACTGTCCATAATGCACAGAAATGCTGTGTATGCTGGCAGTATTCACTCAAATGCTCATAAACACTAAAAAGATGAAAACATTTTAACAATTTCTAATCCTTTGAAGTTCCTCTTCCGACAATACACATTCCAGAGGCATGCGTCATGGACCGCTTTTTATCAAAGGATGGTGAAAATAATTGATAGAAAGCTGGTGAAGGTGTGATTCATTTGAGATGAATGTATTGTATTTGTGATTGAGTTAGGTGACTGGGTCCAATTATAGTGTGTACAATGCAGTGTTCCAATTACAGTAAGTATTGGTTGTTAAATAACTGTACTGCAGTCCATCCTCAAAAGCCGGGCTTTACATGAAAACTTTTTTGTCATTCTGATTGAAGATCTCTGGTCAACTGTTTACATGTGACGCGATCTGGTGTTAATGTGCTACTACATTTATAAAGACGGGGCTGAGTCTATTTAAACACAATTGTTGCGATTGTTATTACACTTTTTTAAAAAGCAACAGCTTGATGAATAACAAGTTTCAAGTAGTTAAAAACAACCTCTCCTTCACAGACAAGCTCAGTTTGGAAGCCATAATTTCAAGGGCGTGAACGACGAATTCACGGCACGTTTACATCAAGAAAGAGCATGCGCAGACAGGACATAGCCTGGCAATTCCAACTGAAGCATGTATGATACATGACTTCTGTTCAGATTGGCAAAAGGAATGTACTACATCTGTGAATCTGATTGAAATCCCATTCGGATTTGGCCTGTTTGCTCCAATTGATGTGTTTATATGGTGCATTTTCATTCGGTCTAGGCACTGGTTACATTCGAATCGGAATACTGTATTGGAATGTAATCGGAATAATGCACATCTGGATATTGATCTTCCCTTTGAGAATTCTGCATATATGCTCAATTGGGTTCAGGTCACCATGGGACGGTGAGTTGTCTTGCCTGACAATTATACAGTGGCCTATAGCTTCAGGCACCCTAAAGCGGCCTACAACTCAATGATGTTGCAGCCTTGTTGGGATGTGGTGGCTATGCACCAACCTTCTCGAAATGCATACATCTGGACCATCCAAACATTCACAGCATTCATCACAGTGAATACAACTCTTTGAGCTATTTGTATTTCTGAAACAACTGCCAGTTTTTCTCTTGGTGAGATTAATGAGGGGTGGCTGAAATATGGCTTCATGAATGGCCGCAAGCCTTCCTGCATTGAGAGGTTCTTGGGACTCTGGAGACATTATCAGCTTCAAATACCTAATT